GGTAATCTAATTGAAAAATCCTCACTTCAGAACTTAAATTGGAATAAAAAGTTACGTCAAAAATTTGTATGTTTGGACACTAACGAGCCAAGGGCGCAGAAAATGCCCAATTCCGCTAGAAAGAACTGGAATATACGCTCGGAGGTCGAGTATGATCCGGAGAACATGAATCGATCTATAAAACTGACGGGGAACCTCGTATCACGCCAGGGCAGCCTTGTGGGGAGGCTAAGGACAGTACGGACACGCCAATCAAAAAACCATCTCGACGATCTGAACTCCTGTTTCAACGACTAAAGGAGAAAAATAACAGCATAATTTAATCAAGAAACAAGTAGCCAGTGAATTTAAACCCACTTTAACGCTTAGCGACGGTTCTGTGCTAAGAAAATGCGGCGTAGCTGAAAAACGGGATTCCGAGAAGACAACTGGGGGACGTAAGATGCCAAACCCTCCGACAATGATCGGCCTTCGGAGGAGATGGACAAGTGCCCCGGCACTAGTAAAGCAATTACACTAAGGGTAGCCAGTATAAGGCGAAATCATGAGAGGAGGACGAAATCATGAGAGGAGGACGATTCAGATTCAGAATACTGGAGGAGATGAACAAGTGCCCCGGCACTAGTAAAGCAACTACACTAAGCTTAGCCAGTATAAGGCAAAATCATGAGAGGAGGACAAAATCATGAGAGAGGGACGATTCAGATTCAGAATAAGAGCCAAATTGCAGCCATTTGGAGTTGAGGGGCGGGCGAATGCAATAAAAGAGGGTCAAGGATCCAGCGGAGCGGTTACGAATGCGGGATGAGCGGACGGCGAAAACGGGAAAAACGGTGTACCGGAGGCGGCGGAATTTCTACCGGCGGACTAGGAGCTGAACAAAGGCGCGGAAACGCCAGAGGTAAATGAATCGGAGAAGCAGGCGGATAAGAAAACGGCAAACGAAAACGCAAAGGGAAATGAACCGGCGGTGTCCGAAGAAGAGAGAGCAAAAAAGCACGGGGCGACCCAAAAAGCAACGACTGGTTTTGTATTTGACTCAAGAATCGAACAGCCAAGACAAATCGGGCTCGAGAAAAAGCACGCGCAAGAGAATGGATGCTTCAAAATTGGGAGCAGTAATAATCGATGCCATTATTCGGGACGAAGGGGACGGGGAGCCAGCGGAGAGAGGACGGGACAAAGAGTAATCGGAAGGAGAAAGGAAGGAAGAGTTATAATAGCCAAAACCTTACAACGTTTGCTTAAACTTGCAATTGCGCATGTAGCCCAGGGAGAGGGTTGAGCGTAGGGTGTAAAACTCAATTCAGTTACTAAAACATTTTATTTTAATAATATTTCTTTCAAACTTTTTCTAAAGAAAGGGGAATGTCATATTTATAACGTAAATTCATTTATATACAAATTTATGTTATCATAGTTAAGTTCAATTTATAGTCCGTTGTGGCAGTGACCTTGATGGTCAGTAATTGATACCTACCAGCGGCGTTGTTACTCTCCAGTGGTGCTGAAACAGTTGACCATCGGAGTTCATATCTATTAAGTTGACTGTTCTAATTCGGAATCTATTTAGCAGGATAAATTATTCCACCGTGGCGCAGCCGGCAGCGAACAGAGTTAGTTGAGGAAAGAATCCGTTGGGGATTACGGCATTCTGGCCGATCAAACGCGCTGAACCGCCTATGTTGTGTGAACATTGGATTATTCGATTCAAGTGGGTCGTGATAGCTAAGCACGCGTTTAACGCGACGTCGCTCTTATTTGCCAAAGTTGACGACCGCGCAAATAACGGCTTTAACACCGGAGGTGCTGGGGAAAATCGGGTCGAAGCGGAAAAAACGCTAATTTCTAACCTGTATCTATGTCTGGGAGAACGTGGTCAGGACGAGCTCGCCAACCGAAAACCGCACTTGGATTTAGCTACTACCAGAAACCCTCGGATGGTGAATGAATTCGAAGAAATCTTTAAATAAGAGACAAATGACACGTTTGAAGCTTACCAACTATTGTCGCTAAAACAGCGGGAAGGGGAGTCACTTGAACAATTTCATTCTGTAATTAGTGGACTCGCGGCTCGATGCAGCCTCGGTACGCTAGAACGACGGATTTAACGGGACGTCTTATAGTGAACA